ATAACGCTTGCAGTGCCACTCGGACTTTTAAATCGCAAAGATCTGAGGGGCACTACAACTGCGCACCTCGCGCTGAGACGCAAGTTGACAATCTCATGTGCCTGTAATTTCACCAGCACCCTTACCCTTCAAGACCGGAACACAGTAATGCTGACACTACTGCTTGGCGGCAGAAATAGGAATTTGCTGGTCATGCTAAGTAAGATGAGGGCAGTAATGGTAATCATCCTTTATAATTGTTTTTTTATTTATAATTGTACCTTTACGTCTAGTTTCGCATTTTTTTCTCTTAAACGAGATACTAATCCGCGATATAAAAATGTCAATATGTAAGTATTGCATTTGACAAAAATTATTTAAATATATCACGCGAATACTGTGATGTACACGTTAATTTTTTTCAAATTATGTTTTGCAACCTGTACGAACTAAAACAATGTGTCAATCCTACGTGTAGACATTAATGCACCGAACAGGCGGGAGTTTTTTTTTGTTATTCAACATTCAAAGATGATAAACGACATTGAGGTGGATTATTTAATAATCTTAATAGAGGAGCGTCCTGTACTAAGGAACAAAACATCAGAAGAATACAAAATCATCTTTGAATACTGAATAACAAATGAATGCGGCACTGGGGAGCGCGCCGTGAGTTTCTACGATACGACGTCGTGCCGTGAGTCGTGCCACGTTGCGATGAATTTTTACGTTGCTCGTCGTAAATCCACGATATGAAGTCGCATCGTGAAACGATTGTGTTGTGTTTATGTGTAAGAGCCCCTTACACTGTTGCTAGCAACTATTGTTATTGTAAACTCGTGGCAGACCAACCGTTGATATCCATGAGTGTGTCTTGACGGTTAAACGTATAATTCGTGTCATTGATATAAATTGCTATATTGGACTGTTTATACAATAATGTATTAACTCAAATAGTGTATTTTTACAATCGATAAAAAACTAATGACTCACTTCCAGTGAAAGATTAAAATGTATGTATAAAATATAATAAAAATTTAAAATTTATGCTAAAATTTTATTACAGACCTACATAATTTTTGCCAAGTTTACTTAAAAATAAAAGGAAAAAAAATTAATTTCATATTTTTCAGTAAGAACGGTTTTGTCCAGAACTTGCTCACAAAACGTTTGTCTCATTTTAAGTTAAGATATATTTCAATTGTTTCGCACAATATTCTAACGACGATTTTACTGAGGTATAGAGAATCAATTTTACGTTCAGCTATAGTATAATCTTGAATTTCACATATTTTGAGTTGTAACCCTATTGTAATAGCAGTGCGATATGTTTGCAAAAACCGATGCCGCGTAGTTAGTTTTGTGACACAACTTTACACATTTTTGTACATTTTGTATGATAAAAAAATAACACAGCGCTCATACAAAAATGAAAACTTTTGCACCCTGCAGGTGCAGTCTGCCTTATACGATAATGCTACCAATGATTATTTCCTTTATAATTAACATAATCAACCCTTTACAACTTACACTGTAACCCATTTATTATCTTACATTACAATCCGATGTGTTTACATTGCACACAGAATATATTCTAGTTTGTAACATTTTAACCAAAATTGTAATAAATATTGAAGTTTGTAGTGAGGTATCGTTTCACTTCCCCGCGTATTCACGGAGTTAACAATTTTGTACTATATCATTATGGTATTTGTGAAATATCAAGCAATAACTTATCCATTAAACTTTCGGCTAAATACAAATAGCATTTTCAATACAAATTGACATAAAATTCTAAACTAAATCACAATTTATAATCCGTAATACATTGCGTCTGAAGGCGCAGGACCAACTGCAGCTAGATATTGACTAAGTGCATGTTATTGGAGAACATGATATCTACTAGGTGCTCATTATACAGGCTGTATATTTGAAAGTGGGACATACTTATAGAGTGCGTTATATACCTGACTCCGAACCTAAAGAAATAATAAGGTAATGAACTTGAAACTTTACAAAAAAAATATATTTTTTATTTTTATCGACTACTACTTGCGAACAACATTAGTTATCGAAATCTATGTACATCACTATTATTGCTCCGACGCAATGGCGAGCTGCGGCACGGCGGCGAAAATCAAGCACAGGTCGGGGGTGGGGGCGCGGGCACATAGATACAGTGCACGCGCGACCTTAGTCTAGCTAAGATACATAAATTATTTGTACTTCCGCTCGCTAGCGCAAAATAGATATTTATTCTAACGTCAAATTGACTGAGATGGTGCGACTTTACGCAATAAGTGGTGATAGTGTGGAGCTATTTAAATGTTCCCAAATCGGAGTTTTACGCGGAGTAGGTGAACAGTGTCGAAGTGTGGCATGAGAGGATTATCTCAACATTTTATAGTGTGAGACCAAATGTGTTTGTGTTGAACAATTTAAAACAAAATTTAGTACGACGTGCTAGAATATGCATTGTGGAAAACGGTGGACATTTTGAACACTTGCTGCGTACCACGTAAGTGTAAATAAACTGTAAATAACTAAAAAATCAATCATTGTAAAAGTTTTGATTTCACATTTTTAACTAGGCCAAAAACCTCAATTTTTATTAAATGATAACTAGTTACTAAATCATAACCTTATCTTTTTTGAGTACGTAAAACATTTCGATGATAGTTCAGAAGTAAAAAATAATTAGCATAAGCTGAAACGTAATCATTTCGATAACAGCTTGTTCATCATAACATAAATATGCGTAGGTGAGTAACTTAGTTTTTTATTTTCTAGAGAAAAGAGGTGCTTTTAATAGGAAGGGAGATGTGAAATCATTGTTATTGTTGCTGTCTCACTCGGCCCTCGCTTGGTAGTATTCCCATTGCACTGGAAATCAAGCGTAAAGGGAATAGGTTTATTCTTATGTGCACTCCAAAACAAAGTTGTTGATTTATTTTTTGTTCTATCCCATATCCTAATTTTATTTTAGTCTATATTAAGTTGTAACATGATTTACTATGACATGTATGAATATGTCTCACTTTCAAATATACAGCCTGTATAATTGAACGAATAAACAAGGTGAAGCAAGCGAATGGCAGAGGGCGTTACGTAAACTTCAATGCTTTCCTTTTAATTTTAAAATGTCGAAGTGCTGCACAAAAGCGTATAATAAATATATCGTCGGTTAAAAGGTAAACTTGACCAAGTGTAATTTTGATCAAAAAAGATAATAAGTAAAATTCAGTATAAAATACTTAAAACATGTTTACACAATATTTTAATACATACGAGCTCGTTAAAGATTTTTCATAGTGAAAAAACATAAATTCCATCAATTAATTATCTTCATTAGTCTAAGCTAACTAAGCTAAGCTAGCTTTTAACCGAATTTTAACTTTAAAGCAACGATATTTCGGTCAAAAAATTAACGCAACTCCATTTTGGCACTCGCACAACAAATAATCCACCATTTTGCATTTGCCTTGTGATTAGAGTAGGCAGCATTTTTGTGTGACCTAAAAGTAAATAATAAAAACAATTTTTTACTTAAAAGAGACGGTGCCGAATCTCGTAAGCTAATATTCGATTTATGTCATACTATCCTTAAATAACTTCACACTAAAAACTGAAAAGTTTCCACACCTTAAGCATATTAATAGCATTACAATTGACATCCTTCTCTGAGCTTGCTTTCAATGGCAAAACAATACTTATCAGTTCATCAATAACTTACTTTATATTTTCTAAAACCTGTGTTCAATTTTCTTGAAAACTGTTAGGTTTAAAAGGTAATGTATGACCCTGATATTGTGGCACAAAAGGTCAGAACTTTTAAGGGTCGCATCAGTAAAAAAACTAGTTTTAAAATGAAACTATTTTTTGAGAAGTAAATCTCGTATATTACTTTTTTCAAACAAACAAACGTTTCGGGTACTTTGCAACGTATGTACGTTGTATGTAGGTACGTTGGTTCATTTGAATAAAAAAAAAAACAAATATACGCGATTTATATCTTATTTTAAGTTAGCTACCTAGTACCGAGAAAACAGCCGCATGTGATTGGTTATAGATAAACCACTAAAGCCGCATTCATTATGGCAAACTAATAACTTGGATCCCACATCTGCCCAATCCACGAGTCTGTCGAATAGCGAATGTGCCGAGTCACGAATCTGTAGAATCCCGAACTCAGTCTCTTTTTTAACACCTTTATGCACGAGCCTTTATTATTATTAACCGACTGAAAAAACGAGGAGGTTCTGAATTCGATTGTATTTTTTGTGTGTATGTTACACTATTACTGTTTTGCATTTGTAAACGGATTTTGATGATTCTTTTCTTGTTGGATAGACGGTACCTCAGTATTGGTATCACTAAAATTTGTAGAAATTATTTCATCTCTAAAGGTGGCAAACGGTTTCGCTGACTTTCCGGAAAACTAAATGTAATTTATTCAATTGTGACGGTGGTGTGACCCCCTTGATCGTTATTCCACCTTTTTATTTCAATTTCTTATTTTATTCACACACTCGTATTTAAGTTCAAATTTTAAATTGTTCCATTCTTTGCCTCACATTCTGATTTTGTTTCGGTCCACCGTCACTCCCTGCCCGATCGCGGTAGCGAACACATCTCTTCTTATCCTTTTGAACCTTTTACTAGCTATATTTACACCGTCTACATTGTTAAACCTGAATAAATACCTTTTAAACTGGACTTCCAACTTTTGAACTACTAAATTAAGGCTACTACTACATTCCATCCAACAGGACATATCGCTACCAGCACCAGCAGCACCCTTACACACTCTTACACCCACACGCACACTCGCACGCAGGCGCGCGCACACACACACACACACACACACACACACACACACACACACACAC